TAGAAGGGAAGAGTATGTTTTGTGATGAATAATTTTTGTGATACAATATATAATATATTTTGTTTTCTCTCAGCTTGATTTTTTTATATTTACTGAAGAAGCCATAATTTTCCATATAAAATACAGTAAAACTCGTTTAGTACGAACACGGATACAGCGAATTCACGGATATAGCGAAGTCATTTTGGATCCCCAGCTATATAAATTTAATGAATTTCTTATACGGTTATAACGAATTACGGATATAGCGAAGTAATTTCAAAGGTCCCAGCGACTTCATTATAACCGAGTTTTGCTGTAATTGATAATATAGCGTGTATTGAATAAATTGATCAATCTTAAGTGAGCAGTGAAGGGTATAACAAAACAGTTATAGACTGGGATTCGGGCAACATATGATTTGTTGGACCTGAAGGTGAAAATGTTGCCCTTGGCCTGCGGCCTCGGGCAACATTTTCACCTTCAGGTCCAACAAATCATATGTTGCCCTCATACCCAGTCAATAACTGTATAATACAACACTCTGTATCATAAACATATATACAACACTCTGTATCATACACATTAATACAACACTCTGTATCATAATCATTTATACAACACCCTGTATTACAAACATACAAGTTGAACACAGAATCCTTAACAGTGTAACAATTTAGATCATTAACAATTGTACTGTAACAGCTCTTCACATCATTAACAGTTATACAATTAGTACATATTTTTTTCAATTACATGTATATAAGAACATTACTCTGTTTCCTTAACATTTATATGACATGTATTATGTCAATTTCTTCATTCAAGATTATTGTAACAGCTGATTAATGTGTGAAAAAGCTTTCCATTGATTCAAAACCTATTTTCAAAAAATTATGTAAAGCATTTAGAAACCGTCACAGCACCAAGCATTGTATTGCACATAAACAAAATAAGTATCATATAAAATGTAAAAGTTTAACAACAATATTTTCTTTTTTAAGAATGTTTCATGGTAATGAAGATGCTTGTGTTATATTTATCAATTTATCATGTAATAACCCAACAAATAAGTTGGATGTACAGTGGATGTACATTGTAATGGATTGCTGCAATTCACAAATTACTAAATTCAACATTGAACATGGTTTAATTAAGTTTAAGTGTATAATATAAAAATATACAAAATGAAAGTGAAATCTGAAGTTGTCGGTACAAAAATACAAATGGGTAAAAATAGCTCATTATGATACAATACAATACAATACCTAAAAATCAAAACATTTACATAAATAAATAGTATCAAAAATACATGACTTTCAGTTACAACTCTGGTGGATAATTTATAAATTATACATCATTAATCCAACAAATAAATAAAATTATGCTGAAATCAATAAACTCGAAGAGGAGGAATTTGATTTTTGTGCGACTTGTTTGGTTGTTTTGATCAATGCATATAACAAAACTCCACAAATGACGAGCATATTTCCACACCACCACAGCACTGTTTTCTGTTCCTTGTAATATAAAATAGCAATGATTGTCTGAGTTACAGACTTGGCATTAATGCTGATATGATGGGTAACAGGGGAGGTAACCTTTATCTGTAGAGCACTGACCCATCCAATAGCAAGGGAGAGAACTCCAGACAAAGTCAAGAGAATCCAGAAATCCAGGGCCGAGGACGTCTGTGACTGGAGGACCTGCCGGGCCTGCCCCGTGCTGTAGACAAGAGGAGACAGGAGAAGGAGACAGTTAATGTTGTTGTAATAGGCCTGCTTCAAACTGTCACCATTATGTAAACTCTCAGCTCTTTTAAAGTACACTCCACATATAGCGGCACTAAAACTGGCCAGCAATCCATAAATGATGCCCCAAACACTTAGTGTCCCTGTATCATTTTCTTGATCAATCCCAATCACAAACCCAGTGATAATACACAGGCAAGCTAATAAGGCCTTCCAAGTGAGGGGTTGCTTTAACATCCTGGAAGACAAGATGATGGTAAAAATTAATGTAAAAGACCGTGCAACTTGATAGAAAGCCACTCCAATATGCTTCAACATTAAGTTGTTGAGGGCTATACTCATGATGAAAGACAGGGATAGTTTCAGTATGTCACAGTGTAAGAGAGTTTGGAAATCAACTTCTGGCACTTTAAAACAATTTCTACAAAATTTCCTCATGCATCCTATGACCTGTATAATGGTCACCGCAGCTAAACTCTGGTACCAGGCAATGAAGATTGATAAGTCTGTATCCACATAAGCTCCACTGAGGATGTGTTTGTTGACAAACACCATAGAAATTGACACAATCCAGTAAAGTAGGATAATAGCTGCCACATGAAGGAATGGACTCTGGATAACCATTCTCTACAAGAAAAGAAAATGATAACGGTAGATTAAAGCACCCTTTCTGGTGATTTAAAGAATAAGTGTCTTGTTTCTGATATCTATAAGCATGACATTGGAGTATTCTAAAGACGTTTTTCGATTTAAAAAATTATATTAAATTCATTGTAGTTAAGCTATTTTTTGTCCCAAAATCTAATTCCTATTGAAATAAATACACATGTTTAACACTGTTTCAAGGTAAATTATCATGAAAACCGAACTGAAACAGCAAAGCATAGGCATTAGACAAGTTCACAACAGTGCATAGGACAAAAAGGAATTGTTCCCTTCAGGCTTCACTCACAACAAGTAAAACACACCCCTATCTGGCTTATTTGACACGGGACCCCTGTCCAGCTGACTTTGTGAGGACTGGACACGCCCACCTTTATCAACCATGAACAATGTTTTATGTCAAACAAATACGTGAATGCATACAGCTAAATACCTTCAAGAAATATGTCATCGATCCTCTTACATGTAAAAATAAAAATACAAGCCTACCTTCTTTGTCTAGGCAATTATCACATATTTTCACACTCATTTTTGCTGTGAATATACAGTTCATTGTTGGACCACGTTTTGTAATGGCTGTTATGCAGTTCTGTGGGGAAAAACGCACAAAAGATTATTTTAAAAATTGTATCATTTAGAACCAAACCCGTGAAAAAAAATCCGTATTACCCCCCCCCCCCCCCCCACTAAAAAAATTACTGGCCATATAAGATCGATTAAAATAAAATAATAATAACAATGATGAACTTTTCTTTCAAATCAACATTTTTTAACAAAACGAATTTCAGGCGTAATGTTGTTGGAAAAAAAACCCAACTTTTTGAAGGTCATTTTTGCATGCATGCATTTGAAAATGTATGTTTTATCTTTTCTCTTTCTGTTTAGTATAATAGTTAAATTTAATAAGAATGCATGTCAAATACTCAATATTTTTGTCACATGATGACATTTATTTTAGTACAGTGGATTTGTCGTGTTCAAAATTTTGAATTTACCGGCCGAGTGGAAGTAAATACAAAATTTTTTGAACATGACAAAACAGCGGGTTGGAAAAGGTGTAACACTTTCAAGTCTCTAGAAAAAGGAAATCTGTTAAGATTTTCTTTCAGAAAACAGTAAGCTTCACCTCCAACCCACATCAAGTCCACGTACACCACACCAAACACACATCATATATGTCAGGGGTTTTGTATTCTATTTTATGCTATATTGTTTGCTTTTCCTAATTTTATTTATTTATTTATTTATTTATTTATTTATTTATTTATTTATTTATTTATTTATTTATTTATTTATTTATTTATTATTATTTATTTATTTATTTATTTATTTATTTATTTATCCTTTTTTAATTTATTTTGTTTATTTATTTATTTGTCTTTTTCTTCTAGTTCTATACCATTCTGTTGATAAATCATTATAGAAAAGCTTGTTTAATTAAATAAATAATGGTATTCAGTCAATGACACAAGTACAACTAGTTATCTCTGGTAATACTGTATCTCTTCTGATAATAACTTATGTTAGGCCTAGTGTAAAAAAAATGCACTTGGGTTTCAAACTTTTTCTCAAACTTTTTTAGTGTACATTTCTAATAGGACTATTGCAACGTACATGTATCTATGGATAATTCGTCAAAATGTTTTTTTATATAAGCACATTGTCCAATCTGATTTCTGTAAAATGCAACCTTACTTAACAAAACCTTTACAAAGTAATTTAAAAAAGCATATTTCCCGCATTAGACTTTCATCGCACTATCTAAACATAGAATGCGGAAGGTACCAAGGTAAGAGCAGAAATGATAGAGAATATGCGATGTTTGCGATGGTCATCAAATAGAAGACGAATTTCATTTCATTCTCCAATGCCCCACTAGATATCTAAATCTAAGAAAGAAATATATTAATGAACATTATTACAAATCGCCAAGTACATTTAAATTAATCCAATTATTAGGTACAAACCGCATATCTACTTTGGTTGGTCTAGGGAAATACATTCAACATGCTCTAATATTACGTAACGAATATTTATCAGGTTGACTTACATGTAATTTCTCTATCTTTTTGTCTGTATATCAAAACAGCATTGTTGTATATTTATTATAACTTTGAATAATTCTGTACTGCTTATTTCAAAATCATTATAATTGTATTCTACAATGATGAGTGGAACTGTGGGACTGAGGAACACTTGACCTGGGGTTTCACCCCCCAGTTTAGACTCATTGAGAGTCGATTGTATTATATGTTGTTTGTCATATTTGTCATTTTGTAAACTGATGGGCTGTATTGCCCAAAGTTGTATCCTGAATAAACTTATTGTTATTTAACAGGAATGTTGCTGAGTTTTTATTTATTTTTACCGTGTCTGGCAAGCCACCTAGCTCAATAAATCAAGAATCATAATCCGGTTTATATTAGTACCAATATTGTGTAAGTATTATTCAGATTTTTTTTTTTTTTTTTTTTTTTTACAGTGTAAGACTGACAGATAATTTGACAGACGGCGAAGGACAATTTATTAATGAATGTGAAAACATCATTTAATTCTGAGGTTAATTTTAAGGCTACACAGAACACACGATAAGCGTAGAGCTTTTTACAAATAGACACTATCATATCCGTTTAGCGATTCAAAAAAATTGCGGTAGGAAGATATTTGGTTATACACTGCTATTGTAAAGTTAAATTTAATTTAACCACTCAAGAGTGATGCTACAAAGTTTTGACAGACTGAACAAGAATTCTTCATACCACATGATATTTTTTTTTATCTACATAGAGTCAGCAGTTTCGAGAAAATGTGGTAAAGTAGTTACTAAAAGTAGAGATCTTTGGAAAACTAAAGTTCTTGAACACTTTCGGTTAATTTGCAGTGACCCGACAAGCGTGGAGAGAGAGGATGAAACAAATTACTCGGGAGATTAGCGACCTGACAGAGCGCGGGGCTTGTCACGAGACGTGAGTGACACCTGGCGAGTGATGCGGACATCGGAACCTGTAGAAGCAATCCAATTCACCAGCAGCTACACGTTCTAACAGCTTTAACGCTATGTTTGACATCGCCTCCATCAGCCACAAAGGTTTCTGCAGAAAGAATTATCTTTTTTGAAAACAAACTAAGGGATATTTGACTAAGGACGGACCAAGCGAAGCGTCACATTAGAGATTTAGATTTCATTTTTGGTTGATTTGCACCTGGTTTCGCTGATTAAGAGAGATGAACTTTATAGCATGTGTACTTTCTCACACTCGAGAAAAAACGAAACAATTGTCAATTTTGTTTTTAAATGAACATAAACCTGAAGTCATAGACCTTTCACTATAAAGTCGTTCTGTAACGTTTTAATTACATAGATAATGACTTTTTTAGGTTAGTTACCCCAGCAAAAAAAGCAAGATTACATCTTATCCCACCGGACACCGTTTTCACGAACCGTTTCTTGCCAATAATATTTCACTTCCATCACTTTCTTTTCAGTTCAACATTGTGGCATTCAAAGACTGACTAGCATGGTTCTTGGAAGCTCGGAGACTCTGGTAAAGAGCCGCGTCTTAGGCGCCTTTTCACGTGTGGTTATGTTCACTGAACGATAAGAAACGTCATTCATTTTCTTCAGAATACAGAAAATCAGGAATTAATATCTGTAATCGGGGGAAATGGATATGATATTCATCACTACTCATAGCATTCATCTCCTGTAGCAAAATCGTTCCGTCAGTCAACGCTTGTTCGGAAAAGACCGGGTCAAGGGTCACTGCAGAAAATACTGCTTCAAAGTCATCTTTGGGTTAATTCTCTCAATATTAATTTCTTTTATTTATTGGAATCTCTCTCTTTCTCTCTCTTTCCTATGAGTAACCAAAATTACTCATTCCTTTTTTACTTTCATTGATCATAATCTGGCCATGTACACAAGGGAAAACGCCGTCTTATCGACAATAGGAAAGATACAATACCTCCCAATTATAATGCACGTGTGCCGTACTGTGTGTGCGGTAGCGCCGTCGTCCGTGCAGGAACGCAATCGTAAAAACGTCATGCAAATTACGATACCGAGTTTATGAGCAACATGAATTCTATTATCAAAAGACTCCTGGGAGAAATTAGAAATATAAATTATGAAATGATTAAAAACATCTTGGATCAGTACGATTTAACGACACCACTCGACGCTAAGCATAGAGAAAAGGGTTAGATATAGACACATAATTAACCATATCTCTGTAGTATACGGTATCTATCGCAGTAAAAATTTGAGATATTTGATAATTTTTTCTCTTCTAACTTATTTGCGTGCGATATATTTCAGCAATATCGGGTTGATAGTGGTTTCTTACGTTTCAGATGCTGTGTTCATATCTGGATTACTATCGAGAAAACTAAACTTTGATTTAAAAAATGAAAGTGGATATTATCATTTTCCTTATCATTTACCATATAGAACTTAAAAAATAAAACAACTAGAACACAAAAATAGAATTGAAACAAAACAAAACAAGAAAAAAATCTCATAGATGCCATAGAAAAATGAATCTGCCAGTAAAAGTTTCAACGCAAACTAATGCAGAATTTTATAAACATACAAATCAACAGGATAAAACAAAACTAGCGTACTTTTTAGATTTTTTCTCTGTAGTATTCATTGAAAAGTAACATTCCTTGAATTATAAAGGATGCGTTTTATACAGCAAGGGGGTCCCACTTTTCCCCAGAGACGATATTTTAAGATTAATTAAGTTAGAGACACTAGGCTTTGTATGATAATTAATATAGAATTTTTATGTTATTTTTCCATTTTTTTATGTAAATTGAGTACAAATTCAATATCTATTGATTTTCTATGTGTTATTCAAATATCAAGTGCAAGGTTGTATATGAAATTACTTAGCATTTATTACTGAGATGTTGTAAAGATATTCCGCAAATGTTATTTACAAATTGTGTATTTGGACCAGGCGATTGAGCAATATAGTTAAGCACTATCAATAGATCAAATAATTCGTGTAAGTGGTCAGTGTTCTCTAGAAGTAACAATGTTGATTTTGGTCAAGGTTAATGACTTAGAACGCATCCTAAATTGATTTTATGAAATATGGAATTCTAAATTTGGCAAAAGTAAAACTTCAATTAGTATTAAGGAACACTGATCACATGCTGACCACATGCGGTCATGTCACATGGGTACCGAAAAAGTTAACAAGTTGCAGAATTGTCATGGAAACCGGTTCTGGGGTATATAATGGCCGTGCGCGCCCTGACAACCTCAGTTGCGGTTTCTCCAAAATAAATCTATAATAGCTTATAACTTGTTTTCTTTTAAGGTACGTACATGTTAATTCAATCATCCTTATGTTTATAATATTCATGTTTATATACTTTGAAAGTTAACGCAACTGAAATGTAATATGTTGATAACAATGAAATGTTATTAATAATTTGTTTCTTTTTCAGAGTGTTTTGTAAAATTAATAATTTTACTGTAGATCACTAAATTTTCGCGACACCTTATTTTCGCGAGAGAGTCATTGACTCTTGATACGCGAGACAAAATTTTCACGAATTGTGGTTATTGCTTTATATAATCT